GAATGAAAGGTGTTCATTTTAGCTTTGTTCATAACAGTTGAAAATTAAAAACAAGTTGAATATTCAAAATAGGGGATGTGTTATAAATATATATGGAAGATATATACAGTATCTACTAAGAATTTAATATCCATTTTGATATTAATATGCAGATTTAATATGAAAATATGTTTACAATACATCAGGTGGAAAACATATTACAGAGCAATATTTTTGTCATGTTCTTGATTTTATAAAATATGTGTGTTACGTATGTTCAAGCACAGGAAAAGTAAGGCAATTATCTCAGGTAAAAGGTTTGTAAATAAACTTTTGCTATTTTTCTTATTCTTTTTACTGCCGCCTAACATGCTTAATGGGGCTTCCCAGGTGGCTAAGTGGTAAATAATCCACCTGGCAAAGCAGGAGACGTGGGTTCAATCCCTATGGCGGGAAGATACCCTGAAGAAGGAAGTGGCAACTCACTCCAGTACTCTTGCCTGAAGAATCCCATGGACAGAGGAACCTGGTGGGCTGCAGTTAATGGGGTTGCAAAAGAGTCAGACACAACTTAGCAACTAAACAACTACATGCTTAATACGCACATAAGTTCATTTTACAATCAGAACTAAAGCTATTATATAAAACTGTTTCCATTTTGAACAAAGAAAAACACAATATATTTTATTTTAAAATAAAAACTTCTTTGACTGCTCAGTACCAAATTCAACTTAAATACATCAATTTATACTTAAGTGGAAATATATTTTTTGAAAAATCAAATCTAGAAACTTCGACCGAAGGTAGCACTGTGAGTGAGAGTTCAGTTACAGAGAACAGAATCCACTCTGGTTCACTGAGACAGAGGTGGACTTATTTCACTGTATAGAATGGCCTATGCAAGAGGTGGTGTGGTCAAAGACAGATTCTAGGCTGAGTTTTCAAGAACTGCCCAAAGAAATAGATCTGTTAATTCTTCTTAATTCAGTCTTTGGTAAACATATGTGACTGGTGAAATCAAACTATATCTGACCCTACATCTAGTCTGCAAGGGAGTCGAGGAAATGCAGTTTTCAGATTTTTAGCTTCTGTAATATAGGAAAGCATACAAAAAGGAGGTTGAATGGTGAAGGGGTGAATCCCAGGTATATGTATGCTTCAGCAATTGAGTAGAAGAATGTCAGCTAATATGTGGAGAGATTTCTATTACTGTTTTGCCAAATGATTGTCATAATCCCTCTCTGCAGAGTTTCTATTCATCTACCAAGCCTGATGGAAGGAAAGAAGTGTGGATGGAATATGTCTAAAAACCAAAGAGGTCAGGAAAGAAAGCTGGTAAATTCATTGATTATCCTTCTCTGTGTACTTCAACTTGTTCAAATAAATTCTTCAAAAGTTTTAATGAGATATTTTTAAAAATAATTTTAACTTAATATGTATGTTTCATGAAATTTGAACACTTCAAATCCAACACCGTTTTATTCATTAATAGCCTTTAATCAAGATACATGATCTTAGCTAAATAATCACCTTTCTAAATTAAATGATAGCATGTAAGCTTAGTTCATAAGTTTTTTCTGAGTTTTCCCTTGCAGAGGTCTTTTCCGATAATATTTTCATATGTCTCTTAACATACAGGTGTGTGTACCTGCTCCTAATCTTTCACTGGCAACGATGATGTTTTATCACCTTCTCCACTTTCTGATGCTGGGAAAGACTGAGGGCAGGAGGAGAAGGGGGCGACAGAGGATGAGGTGGTTGGATGGTATCACTGACTCAATGAATATGAGTTTGAGCAAACTCCAGGAGACAGTAAAGGACAGAGACGCCTGGTGTGCTGCAGTCCATGGGGTCACAAAGAGTTGGACATGACTTAGCAACTAGACAACAATAACAATCACTTTCTTTAGAAAAATACCATTTTTGCTAGAAAAATACTACTCAGCCTTTAAGACTCAATTCAAAAATCTCTTCTTCTAAGGAAACTTTCCAAATTTTACATCAGATTTTTATTATTTTCACCTTCTTTCTCTGCACTGTCACTACTAAAAGACTTTTTAGCATAGTGTATTATAGACAGCATAGGACCATCTCCATTAGTGTCCCTTCCTCTCACACTGACAGCGAACAGGTTTTGGTTATGTGAACACCTCAGGAACTTAGGGTTGAGAGTATGGTGGTGAGCATACTAAGAATGGAGAATGAGTGGAAGAATGATTCTCCAAAGGAAAATTAGCATCTCTTACCAGAAGAAGGAGGAAGAAAATCAATGAATGGCCACTGCATAATAAAGAAAACATCCCAACTGGATCTGAAAGGTATTTCAAAGGAAAAAAGTCAGTCTCAAGACACATCTCTCTTTCTCCCATCTCTCTCTCTCACTCTCTTTCTCTCTCTCTGTATTTGTAGTTGTACACACAAAAAGACATCTGAAAATATGTGCATCTTATGTAATGTTAATGATATTTCTGAGTAATTGAATTTGAGGTGATTTTAAAATATTCAGCATTATTTGTCAATGTCTGATTCTTTTCTGTGTGTTTCATTTTTATTAAAATAGTGAAATACTTCTCTTATATAAAAATATGGATGTAAAATATGCCACAGAAACATTAGAAAATAAGTTAATTTGTTCTTTCTAAGTGGTGGATTTCTTTAAAATGTTTTTCTTTGTACTCTAGTAATTTTTAACTTTTAGACATAAATAATATTTTAACCAAAAAAAAATAAATGATGAGTGGCCACCTGATAGGGAAGACTTTTCCAATATCTAAAATTTATTGTTGAAATTAAGGCTAGATAAAAACAAACAAACAAACAAACAAACAAACAAAAAACCACCTCAGGTGGACAAGAGGATCCAGAAGCCCTGGGCTTCATATTTAGGTTCCTTCTCTGCACTGCTCTAAATCACTTAGATTTTTATTTCTTAGTAGTCAGGTCTGCATGCTAACCAGTTGACAGTGTGAGTACCATCTCAGCGACCTGGGTTTTCAACCAAAGATGTGGTGCTAGAGTTTCTTAGCCCTGTTGATTTGAAGGATATCTGTGAGTGCTTCAGTTCACACGGTTCCATTTGCTGCCCTGGGAAAGGACTGTACAGATCTCCCAGCCAAATAAAAGCCTCCCTGGGAAATGAGAAAGATGTGGAGCAAGGGGAAAATAGCACAGAGATTTTATTCGAGAAATCTGAGAGTAGGGTTCAGGGAAGAAAATCTACTTTAGGCACCACCTAAAAGATTAGGCGTCAAAGCCCCTTGGTGTAAAATATTCTGACTTCTAAGACAGTCCCATGGCTTGGAACATGCATCAATTACAATGAGTTTCCTGGTAAAGAATGTCACTACTCAAACACAATCTACTGTAAGATTTATGTTTTACAAGTACTTCCAAAGATCCTACTTTGACACTGGCTCATATTCATATGCAGAGCTGTGTGGGTTATCCCACCTAAACGAAGGGAGAGAGAAATGGGGACTTGACCCAATGCAGCCAGCCTTACTGTGAAGCACACCTTTCATGACTGCGGCCAGAGAGAAGTGGGCTGGAATTGAAGAGCAGAGCTGACCTTTCTGGGAATCAAATTACAACTTAGAGGAGCATCTGCTAATCAGAACAGCTAACATTTATCATGTGCTTAAGATGGACCTGCAACTCTACTAAGTGTTTGACATGGTAAAATACTAAGTATCTTACTTAATCCTCTTGATCTCTATTACCTTCATTTTATAGATGAAGAAATTGAGGATTGGAAAAGTTAAGAAACTTACCCAGGTAGCTAGGTAGTCACATAGTTGCATAGCACAGGGCCCAAGTGAAGATTGGACTGTGCCGTCCACTGAATGTCTTTGATATCTGCTGCCATAAGTGGAGTTACATAGCCACAAGATCTGACAAACTTCAACCTGGGAAGCTAGAATTCCTCCTCTTGATTTTAAACCCCAGTACAATTTTTTCTTTTTACTGTTACATTTTCTCACCCATATTTATTCAATTAATCTCATCAATCATTTCTGATTACACCCCAGCACAACTTACATAAGGCTTCCCCAGTGTCTCAGCGGTAAAGAATCTACCTGCAGTATGGGAGACACAGGTTCGATCCCTGGGTGGGGAAGATCCCCTGGAGGAGTATATGGCAACCCACTCCAGGATTCTTGCTGGGAAAATCCCATGGACAGAGGAGCCTGGCAGGCTACAGTCCAAAGGGTTGCAAAGAGTCAGACTTGAGTGAAGCTGCTGAGCATGAGCACAACTTGTATATATTATGGCCACGTATGATAATACCAAAACAACACAAATTGAAAATAACAATACAAACAAAGTCTATTCTAAAACCACACTTAACCACTTAAAAACCCTCTGGATTTATCAGAATACAAATAAAAGAGAGATGAATGCACTTGACAGAAATGCCTAACAGTATACGAAGCCACCCAATTTGTCCTGAGACAGTATCATTTAACAGTTAATATTACTTCTTCATAAGGAATGTAATTTTAATCAGATGATAAAGGTTTCTGTTTAAGAACCACAGAAAGTGGATAAATACAAAAACCACTTAATATTTTGCTTCGACTTGCAATTTATATTATTTTTGTAGCAACAGATTTACCTTCCTATTGAATGTTGCTTATTCAGACTAGTAAATCAGTTTGTTTTCCCTGAGTGTAAACCAATTAAGTAAGTTGGAGAGTGTTCACAGGTTAAGAAGTAAGAGGATAGCAGGTAGTAATAAACACACATTTGCTGCATCGTACACAGTCATCTGGTACGGAAGACTGGACTCCTCATTCTTTGAGGACATTGATGAAGTCCCTGCTCTTATGGAATTTATGGTCCAGTTGCAGAGATACTCTGAAAATTAAAAAACTCAGCATTTGGACCAAGTTGTATATAGGGAGCCGCAGACGTCCATGTGCTGCAGGTTCTCTTACATCAACTGCCTAAGAGTCGCGCTGTAAGAAGTAACAATCTCTTCTCCTCTCCGCCATCTGCTCGGCAGCCACAAAACAGCAATTATGTGTGAGTGCATCTCCATCCATGTTGGCCACGCTGGTGTTCAGATAGGCAATGCCTGCTGGGAGCTCTACTGCCTGGAACATGGCATTCAGCCTGATGGCCAGATGCCAAGTGACAAGACTATTGGGGAAGGAGAGGACTCCGTCAACACCTTCTTCAGTGAGACAGACGCTGGCAAGCATGTGCCCAGGGCAGTGTTTGTAGACCTGGAATCCCCACTCATTGATGAGGTTTGCACTGGCACCTACTGCCAGCTCTTCCACCCTGAGCAGCTCATCACAGGCAAAGAGGATGCTGCCAATAACTATGCCCGAGGTCACTACACCATTGGCAAGGAGATCATTGACCTCATCTTGGACCAAATTTGGAAACTGGCTGACCAGTGCACAGGCCTTCAGGGCTTCTTGGTTTTTCACAGCTTTTAGTAGGAGAACTGGTTCTCGGTCACCTCCCTGCTGATGCAAAGTCTCTCTGTCGATTATGGCAAGAAGTCCAAGCTGGAGTTCTCTATTTACCCAGCTCCCCAACTTTCAACAGCTGTAGTTGAGCCCTACAACTCCATCCTCACCACCCACACCACCCTGAAGCACTCTGATTGTGCCTTCATGGTAGACAATGAGGCTATCAATACCATCTGTCCCAGAAACCTCAACATTGAGTGCTCCACATTGAGTGCCCAACATATACTAAAGGTCAGATTGTGTCCTCCATCACTGCTTCCCTGAGGTCTGATGGAGCCCTGAATGCAGATCTGACAGAGTTCCAGACCAACCTGGTGCCCTATCCCTGCATCCACTTCCCTCTGGCCGCATACGCCCCTATCATCTCTGCTGAGAAAGCCCACCATGAACAGCTTTCTGTGGCAGAGATCCCCAATGCTTGCTTTGAGCCAGCCAACCAGATGGTGAAATGTGACCCTCGCCATGGTAAGTGCACAGCCTGCTGCCTGTTGTACCCTGGCGATGTGGTTCCCAAAGATGTCAGTGCTGCCATTGCCACCACCAAGACCAAGCGCAGCATCCAGTTGGTGGACTGGTGCCCCACTGGCTTCAGGTTGGCAGTAATTACCAGCCTCCCACTGTGGTACCTGGTGGAGACCTGGCCAAAGTACAGCGAGCTGCGTGCATCCTGAGCAACACCACAGCCATCGCTGAGGCCTGGGCTCGCCTGGACCACAAGTTTGACCTGATGTATGCCAAGCGTGCCTTTGTTCACGGGTACATGGGTGAGGGCATGGAGGAAGGAGAGTTTTTTGAGGCCCATGAGGACATGACTTCCCTTGAGAAGGATTATGAGGAGGTTGGTATGGATTCTGTGGAAGGAGAGAGAGAGGAAGAAGGAGAGGAATACAAAAGTTAAAAGTTCAAAAGGGTGCTGCTTTTACAGCACCTTTTCTTATTCTGTTTTAAAAATTGAAAAGTTGTGGTCTGATCAGTTTATTTGTATATAGTAGTATATACTCTCATATACAATTACTGACCTATGCTTTAAAACATGGCACTTTTTTATAGACCCAAGCTATCCATTTCTCTGATGAGTTTGAATAAAGTATTCCCTGTCTTAAAAAAAAAAAAAAAAAAAACTCAGCATTCATAAAACTAAGATCATGACATCCGGTCCCATCACTTAATGGCACATAGATGGGGAAACAGTGGAAACAGTGACAAACTTTATTTTCTTAGGCTCCAAAGTCACTGCAGATGGTGACTGCAGCCATGATTTTAAAAGACACTTGCTCCTTGGAAGAAAAGCTATGACCGACCTAGACAGCATATTAAAAAGCAAAGACATTACTTTGCTGACAAATGTCCATCTAGTCAAAGCTATGGTTTTTCCAGTAGTCATGTATGGATGTGAGAGTTGGACCGTAAAGAAAACTGAGTGCCGAAGAATTGATGCTTTTGAACTGTGGTGCCGGAGAAAACTCACGAGAGTCCCTTGGACTGCAAGGAGATCAAACCAGTCCATCCTAAAGGAAATCAGTCCTGACTCTTCATTGAAAGGACTGATGCTGAAGCTGAGGCTCCAATACTTTGGCCACCTGATGCAAAGAACTTTTTCACTGGAAAAGACCCTGATGCTGGGAAAGATCGAAGGCCAGAAGAAAAGAGGATGACAGAGGATAAGATGGTTGGACAGCATCACTGACTCAATGGACACGAGTTTGAGCAAGCTCTGGGAGTTGGTGATTGACAGGGGAGCCTGGCATGCTGCAATCCATGAGGTTGCAAAGAGTACGATATGATTGAGTGATTGAACTGAACTGTAGAGATAAAATGTACAGATACAAGACAGCTTAAACTTTTGAGGCAATACATTAATAAAAGCAAAAAAAAAATAAGATGTAAACTATAATTAAATACAAAAGTTCTAAGGATATGCAAAGAATAAAATGATTAGAACAAAGATATAACTAGTAAGTGAAAATTTTTAAACTGAGTTTGAAAGTGCAAGTATTAGTCACTCAGTCACACCTGACTCGTCGCAATCCCATGGACTGTAGCCCACCAGGCTCCTCTGTCCATGGGATTCTCCGGGCAAGAATACTAGAGTGGGTAGCCATTCCTTTCTCCAGGGGATCTTCCTGACCCAGCGATTGAAATCAGGTCTGCCACATTGTAGATTCTTTACCCTCTAAGCCTTTGGAAGATGAAAACCTTATAAAAGATATTTCCCAACACTAGTCTAGATTAAATAGAGGTTACTGTTTGATGGCTTTTTTTTTTCATGTTAAATATGCAAAGAGACATGTATGGTCCTCTATCAGAAGAGTTAAGAAGTGAATTCTGCTTTTCCTTTAACAAGAAGACCTACAATAGTTCTTTTGGTTTCTCTTTGTGAAATAAAAATTTCAATGTTTTTCCTAAATATTGGAATCTAACAATGCCACATGTAAATTGCCTTTTATTCCATACACATTTGGATTTATTTAAGCAGATAAGCGTGGGCATAAAAGTCCTAGTTTAATATAAAATAGCTGTTAGTTCTATTATATTACACCAAGGTGAAGAGTTAGATGACTCACAGCCAGTAAGGAAAACATCACTACACAATCCCATAAAGGTAAACTTGAAATATATGTTACAAAAGAGATTATTTTAGCTCCAGAAGAAACAAACATATCATGGTGCTTCTCAATATAGAATGACTTTCACTCAGTTTTGTGCGTGAAATTTCATAAGTTAACTATTTTGCCAGACAACCTGCTTTTTTTTGCTGTGCACATGTCTCTCAGGCCTGTCATTACCAGGTCTCTTCTATTTTCTATTATAAATGCCTTCAAATTCCATACTCTGTAATCCTGACATGACTCATAATGATCAGATAGCTGTAAAAGAAATCCCAGAGGAACCATTTCTGTCCCTGAACTTCCACTCAGCTCTTTTTATATCTGTACAAGATAGCTGAACATGATCTAACTCATTATTACAATTTAGACTTAGCATAAGGATCCCGCATTGTGGGAATACTCATTCGATTTCGCTGGCCACTAATGGAAACTGTCACAGGAGAGCATCAGAGAAGGGACGGTTCCGTAAATTGGGCTCCAAATCCTTTAACACACACACACACACATACTTTCTTTCACTTCAGCACTACTTTGCGCCCCCTCCACCCTTTTTTTTAAAAGACATGTTGGATAGCTGCCTATTCTTTCTTCTGAACAAAATAAAATATTCTGCCACTTTAGAAACATGTTTTAATTTTTTTTGGAATATAGTTGCTTTACAATGTTGTGTTAGCTTTTACTGTACAATGACGTGAATCAGCTGTATGTATATATATTTCCCCCTCTTTTTAAAGATTCCTTTCCATTTAGGTCATCAAAGAGCATGAGTAAAGTCCCCAGTGCTATACAGTAGTTTCTCATTAGTTATCTGTTTTATACAGAAAGAGAAAAACAAATATTATACATTAAGACATCTATGTGGAATCTAGAAAGATGATATAGATGATCTTATTTGAAAAGGAGAAATATACACACAAACATAAAGAACAAATGTGGATACCAAGGAGGGAGATAGGATGAACTGGGGGATTGGGACTGACATATTAAAACATATATGTTTTAAAACCATTGTTCTAAAAGATGAGATATAATGCCTTAATGCTGTCTTCCAATTTAAAACCACTACCTTTAAAGTCAAGTTCTCAATAAGAAACTCTGTCTATCAATGAAGAGAAAATACAGTGAGGGGATTAGTTCATTAAATAAAGAGCATTCAAAATAAGTGAAATTAAAGAGCAGTACTTAGTGGGTCAAAATTGTTGATTTCTTATTTCTGAGAAATATGATCAAGGAATTCCACTTAAGTGTTGCTCAACATGTCCAAATAAAGTTCTTTGTGTGAGTTTAAGATTCTGTAATCTCATAAAATGAGTTTGTGCTTTCCAGGATTCTGCCTTGTGCACACATAAACCCACAAGAATGAGCTGAGTCCAATGGTCTCAGAGTTATTTGCCTTAAAGGTGTGCCTTGGGTTTCATTTTAGGCTCACTCTGAGTGGATGCTGCCACAGCATCAGTTCTCTTAGGGAAAGCTGCCCATGGAAGTGGCAGGCATAAATTAACTCGAAAATACTGATAATGTTCATTCCACTGAACTGATGTCAGATTCAGCAAAGAACTTTGAAACAAGATCCACTTTATTCTTATCCAAAATGAGTGTGATATACAATAAAAAAATAACTACTAGAACATCACAGTTTCAAAGTGCTCTTTCATTACCCACTAGCTCAATTGGTCTCTGAATAATCCTCACAAAGTAAGTACTATTTCACTCATTTTATATTATATTGAGACTAAGAGAAGCAGGAGGCTAATTTGACAGAAACTCAGATTTTTCTGACTCCAAACTCCCCAAAGGGAACAAACTCACTTCTGGTTTAAAGTTCGACATTCTTTGATTCAAGGACAGTATCAGAGTTTCGGTATCTTATGAACCCTATAGGCAAAAATTCCATCTCTCTCAATGTATTTCTTCAAAATATTATCTATGCAAGAAAGAGAAAAAGCATTTTGACGTGAAGGTAGATGAACATCTCAAGTATGCTGAGATTCATGAACATTTTCGCTAGTTCTTCCTAATAGTTACTATAAATGGAGTCATGTGGATATAAATTTACAAGAGTAACTCTGAAGGCATCAAGATGCAATACAAAAGACCAGGGGTGCAAATGCTATTGCAGAATTATGGCAATTAAGTCCTTAAAAGCAGTCTTATTTCATTCGTGGAGAGCAGCAATTCATTTAAGCTGATTTATGTGGCTGAGGAAGAAAAAGAACTCCATCTCAATTTAAACTCGTAATAAATCTTTTGACTACATCGACTCTTATTTTCTAATTAGTCACTAGAAAGTTGAACTCAACTAATAAAGTTACTAATCTATAATAGTGGTCAAATTAGATGTGTGTGACATCAAACTCACACACAACACAAAAAGAACCTAGAAATTAAAGATCTAGTACTCAACTTTAGGAGGCTTCCCAGGTGGCGCTAATGGTAAAGACCCTGCCTACCAATGCAGGAGACATAAGAGACGCGGGTTTGATCCCTGGGTCAGGAAGATCCCCTGGAGAAGGGCATGGCAACTCACTCCAGTATTCTTGCCTGAAGAATCTAATGAACAGAGGAGCCTGGAGGCTACAGTCCATAGGGTCACATAGAGTTGGACACAACTGAAGTGACTTAGCAGGCAGGCAGGCACTCAACTTTAGAGCTTAGTGAGAAATAAGTTTACTTTATTAATTTAGTTTTTTATACATTTGAAAACATGGCATAGGTACACAGTAATAGAAAAAGTTCAAGCAGCACAAAACGATGTACAGTAAAACCTAAATGTCAGATCCCTCGGCTTCCATTCCCAGAGTTAACCACTGTTAAGTGCTTGTTTATCTTCTGGACATAGTCCATGTATAGATAAACATATATATGCATATATGTGTATTTCTTTTTAATTTTTAATACAAATGATAGCACATTATACCCAATATTCTTCACTTTACTTTTCCCCTTGTGATATGTGTGAAAGGTTAGCCCATGTCTACACACACAGAGCCAATTCACACTTCTAAACGGTTGCATAATGCTCTTTGTTACATCTTATGGATGTACTATCAATGAGATGTGCC